ACCTGTATTCAAAGAACAAAAAGACAAGACAGACGTGAAGATATTTACAAAATACCTATGTGATTTTAAAACTGGGTAAATATCTGAGCAGGTACTCAGCCACAGCAAATATACTGATAGTAGGCTGGGGATGGTGGATGCACATCTCTACTAAAAATACAAAAATTACCCAGGCATGGTGGTGCATGTCTGTAATCCCAGCTGCTCAGGAGGCTGAGGCAAGACAATTGCTTGAACCTGGGAGGCAGAGGTTGTGGTGGGCCAAGATCACACCATTCCTCTGCCTTTATTGTATAGGTAAAAATGCAAATTCACTGAACCAGACTAAACTGTATTCAGTGGAAGGCTGATCAAGGATTCAAAAGAATGCAACCTTTGTTTTATCTACTTCTGACCTAGAAGCACCCCCACTTCCTACTTCTAGTTGTTCCACTTTACTGAACCAAACAACTGTACATCTTACACATATTGATTGGTGTCTCCTGTCTCTCTAAAATATATAAAAGCAAGCTCTACCCTGACCACCTTGGGCCCATGTTGTCAGGACCTCCTGAGGCTGTGTCATGGGCATGTCCTTAACCTTGGCAAAATAAGCGTTCTAAATTGACTGGGACCTGACTCAGGTATTTTGGGATCACAATCCACAGTCACCATGGTGTGACAGTTGACTACAGCATTCAGTACAAAGACTTGCTATACAGGTTTGTAGCCTGGGAGCAAAAGGTTATCCCATATAACTTATGTGTGGAGTGGGCTACACCATCTAGGTTTTAAAAGGACACTCTATGGTGTTCAGACCAAGATGAAATCACTAAGGACAAATTTCTCAGAAAAGTATTCACATAATTAGGAGATGCTTGAGTGTATTTCAAATGGTTAAAGCCTAGGAGAAAAAAAAAAAAGAAACTCAATTCGTTATGGTTGAGTTTTAATAACAAAGTTTAATAGAGTTAACATATTTCATTTAATCTAAGATGCTAATGATTAACAGACATTATTTTATGCACCATCACAAATAGGTTGCCAATTAAACCAACTTTCTGAATAACAACAAAAATGTAAATTTAATTCTATTAATGCCAGTAAAGTAAAATGAAAATGAATTGTGGTTTTGACATGTTAAAGCAAAAAAAGGAGGAAGCGGTTAGCCTGTCTTGCCTAAGCCAACGGAAACTGAACTTGGAGGCATTTAAACTGACTTAAAAACATTAACCAACCAACCAGTCAATGACAAAAAGCCCAGCCGCCAGTAGGCTGTATGACTAGGGACGCTGAGGGAACCATCCCCACAACAGGCGGTCGCCTAGCTGGAGCCAAGGAGAAACCTCACTTAGCTGCCACCACTAAGAGCCCAAAGCCCTGAGCCCTGTTTTCTGTTCTGGTGCTTCAGGTGTGATTCATGAATCTCCTTTACTCAAACTGTTTAAATTTATTTTGCCCAAAAATCTTCTAACCCCTAAATCCTAACCCCTAACCAGTAACCCCCAACTCTAACCCTAACCCCTAGCCCTAATCCTCACCCTAAGCCCTAACCATACGTTAGTTTCTGCATTTGCACTGATATCTCAGTGTTGACGATTCAAACTGCTGTATCGGCCTGGCCGCATGAGCAGTGCGGATTTTATAGTAACATTGTGGACTGAGGCCTTGCATAGCATCACAGCTGTTTTCTACATGAGCACTGCGGGTGTTGTATTTGCATTTCGGATGTCGTATCTGCCTTAGGAACGCTCTTATTTGTGTTCTGAGGCTGCGGTGTGCACCTTGCACTGCAGCCGTGTGGCCTTGGCTCAGGAGAACCTCAGCGCGCAGGATTCGGAGGGGCTTTTGGCATCCAGATTTCCACACCGAGATCTTCTTACCAGTCTCTGTCCCTAAGCAATCGGGCTGCAAACAGGAAGGATTTTACTCACTGTGGACGTGGCCCAGAGTTGTCCCAAAGTGAGGCTGTGCCTGCTAGGTCTATGCTGTGGAGAATGCAGCTCCCCTCTCGCGGTGTCCCCCAGGTCTGTACTGAGGAGAATGCAACTCGGCAGACCCCGTGATGCAATGCACGCTGGCGCCGGTAGGCCATCTGAAAAGGCAGGCTCGTGCGCCCCCCTGCTGGCAGCGGGGCAGTGCGGGGCCCTCTTGCTCACTGTGATATGACCCCATCCCCTTCTGGTGGCTGGTGCCACTGCAAGGTCTTCTTACAGACCTCCACCCCAGGGTCTGTGCTGAGGACGACACAGTTCCACCTTCTAAGTGCCCCCCAGGTCTATACTGAGGAGAACTCAACTCTGCAGACCGCTGTGACTCACAGGGCAGTGCTGTGACTCAATGCCCATCAGCAGTGGGGCCTCAGGAATCTGAAAAGGCAGGCTTGGGTGCCCCCTCCTGGCAGCCGGGCGCTGCATGGCCCTCTTGCTCACAGTGTGATGGCTGGCGCCCCCTACCGGCCTCCTTCTGCACCACTTAAAGTCATGACAGTTATTCAACACCCTCAGCTCTGGAAATATGAACTGAAACGGAGCTATTACTGGAAAAAGCTGATGTCCCAGTTCTTGTCTAACTTGGAAAAAAGATTTTCACCAAGAGGCAGTACAAAGATGGCAGATAACTTCATTGAAAATAAATACAGTGTAAAGAGCTTATTGTAGAAAAAACAGGTAGGCCCCAAGGGAGGAGCAGGCTGATCATGCAGGAAAACAGCCCAAGAGTCCTGTGCAGGGAATTTTATTTTGGACTTCTTCACATTCCTGCCTCTGTCTCCAGTCTCCACCTCTTTTGTGTGGTTTTTCTGCTCCTACCTTAGTCCCCGACTTGCCCGTCTTTAGCTTGTGAGGCCTCCTCACTGTTGGTTAAGGCACATGTGTGGAGATCAATCCAAATCCACTGTTGGGGCTGGCTTCTTCCTGCCTCCCAGGAAGGCTCCACAGTGGTCACGTCTGTACCTCCTGTGCCTGCCTATCTCTTTTGAATGTCCTTCTCTGCCCTAATCTGTACTTATTGTGCCAGGTTTCTCTTAAGAATGTCCCCTTTGTCCCCTTTGTCCTTCTTAGCATGTAGCTAGCAATTTTCTGACATTTTAACTGTAGAGTCAATGATGACTGGGGCATCCTAAGAGGAGTTCTAGGGTGTTTCTTTCTGCATAGGTACCTCTTCTTCCTCCAACCCACAACCAACAAGTGCCCATCCACTCCAGCATTAGAGATGCTACTAATATATAAATTTTTGATAGTCCCTCCAGGTGAGCCTTCCCATCATGTTCATGTCTAGCTATCTTACCTACTCTAACAGAGCCCACTATCCTGTGTCTTTCCCAAAAGTACAAAAGAAACGATTCAATGGAAACCACAGGAAATGAAATGAATGTAGATGAAAACTTTACAATTTAGACAAATAATCACTCAAAATCATCTTTACACTAAAAATGCAAAACTACACAATTTCTAGAAGAACACTTAGAAGAAAAGCTATGTGCCCTTGGGTTCAGTAATGAATTTTAACAAACAACACAAAGTGTTAATACACACAGAACAAAGAATTAAGCAGATTTTTAAAATATTAAAAGTGTATAATCTGGAAAAGACCTTGTTAAGAGAATGAAAAGACAAGCCACATATTGAAAGAAACTATTTGCAAAATACAGATCTGAGAATTTGTATTCAATATACAAAAAAATCTTAAAACTAAGTTAAACAGCCCAATTAAAGATGCACACAAATCTGAACAGACACCTCACCAAAGGATTTAAGAGAAACCAGCCTTTTCAAAAGACTCCACCACTGCTATCAACCAACTGCCTGAAGCTGCCTCTCCTTTCTTGCCTGATAAGAGACCACCCATGACAGAGAGGTTCTGGCCAGTATATACAGAGGATGCACAGAGCAAGTTTTCATGTCCTCTGCTTCACCTTTTAATATCAGAGGGCTGAAAACTTCACCCTGGGATTATGCTAACACTGCCATTATTTGAACATGGGATCCATGAAGGAATAAGAAATTCAACTGCAATTGCACGCATTTCTCCTTTCATAAATATCCATGACTACTCCTAGAGATTAAACATGTGTACTTGGCCATGCCACTCAATATAAATTACTGTTTTCTTTACCTCTCCCTTGAAGTGTCTGTTCCGGCTTCTGGCTGGAGACTATGCTTCCCAGCCTGTTAGATGGACTACCCTGCAGCCTGCAGCCCTTTATAGGAAATAAATCTCTCACTGGGTACAGTGGCTCATGCCTGTAATCCCAGCAATTTGGGAATTCAAGATGGGTGGATCACCTGAGTTCAGGGTTAAGACTAGCCTGGCCAACATGGTGAAACCCTGTCTCTATCAAAACTACAAAAAATTAGCCAGGAATGGTGGTGGACATCTGTAACCCCAGCTAATTGGGAGGCTGAGGCAGGAGAATTGCTTAAACCCAGGAGGTGGGGGTTGCAGTGAGCCAAGATCACACCATTGCACTCCAGCCTGGGCAACAAGAGTGAAACACCTTCTCAAAATAAATAAATAAATAAATAAAAATAAATATCTTCTTTCCAAAGTTATGAACCTCGTCATTCTTCAGTCGACAGTGTTACAAAGTTCAAAAGACCTTCCATCCTCTCTCACAGAAGTCCTAGAAATTGTCATTTTAATTATTTTAGATGCCTGAGACTTATAATCAAATTAATGCTGAAATTGTGCTTTACCACGTATGTATCTCTTAATCCAATCAAGCAGATGTCTAAAATTAACCATGAGAATATGTATGCCTGATTTATGGCTAAAATTTTAGAATGAAAGCTATAGATCTCTATTTGTGTTTTATGCCTATTAACGTATGTTATGTATATGCGCTATTTTCTTAACTCCAGATAGCAATGCAAAATTCACTGATAAAATCCTCTAAAAGTGCTCTATTCCAACTTAGCTTGGAAAAAAAAAAGCATTTCTAAATAAATATTCCACAAACTACTAGAAATGTAGGAACTGATACAAATGTTTTTCAAGTTAACACAATTTAGATAAAACACAGTCTAAAAAGATCGATTTAATATTTTTAGTATAAGACAACTATGTCTTCAGAGCTATCACTATTGAATATAAAACAAATTTCTATTCTGCTTGAGTTCTAGTCAAATAAGCTAATATTATGTTTACTAGATACTTAAAATCTGAAAGCTTATAGATTTGATTCTAATTAAGTTGTTATTCTTATTAAAAACATTATTTCAATAATAATTTTTTACAGTAAATCTGCCTAATAATAGTTTCCAAAATACTTTTGGTAATTTTTAACCTTGAAGTTAAGCTAACTAAAAGATTTGCATTAAACATCTAGATAATTTGTAAATAAGATACAATACTAAAATACTAATTACTGAACATAACTAATTCAACTTTATATACTTTTGCCCGCTATTTTTATGGAGAGACTAAAGATATTTTGACCTGTTAATAAACATTATTTTTGTCTACCACACTGAGAAATCGTACTATGAGGAAACACGTCCCTCTAGATGTTGGGAGATTGTATACTCATACATTGTCTAATCTACTATAGAATGTTAATATATGTCAATTTAAAATTGTCTACTTCCTAGTTTACCCTGGAAAATAAAGATTACTAAGTATTAAAAATATAATCAATATATATAAATAAAACTACTAGAAACAGTAGAATAACTAGAAACAACTCTATCCAGAGTATGAAAGAAAAGTAGGGCAAGTATTGCAAGTAAAGTAGGTTATATTTTTTATAAGAAAAACTATACAAAATATACAAATAAAAAGAGATATCTAACCTTCCCTGGGTTACATTTATATGAGTAAAATGTTATGTTTTCAGAAATTATGTAAAATCCTGGAAATCTGTCAATGTCCTCCTTATCCATATTGTGTACCAGTATAGTGTTATGAGCCCTCGTCATAGTCCTCCTCCTTGGGGCTGTTGTTCACATAGTTGGAGCTGTAGTCCCCATCGGGGCTGTGGTTATGGCACTCCTACTCCTCGGGCATGGGGCTCTCTGGCCCCAGGCTGGCCAGTTCCAGGCCCTTAGGCACATACTCCTCCAAGGGCAGCTCCACGTCTTCACTCCTGGCTGTGGGGGACAGGGCCCGGCCTCGCCCCATGGTCCAACATCCCGCTCCCCGTGCTCTCATGATTCCAGTGGGACATGGCAGGCACTCATGCAGCCATCATCTCCTGGAGGCAGCCACTGTGGGAGGAATATTGGGAAGTACAGAGTCAGAACCTCAACAAGCCCAGCTGCACACGGGGCCGCTCCAGCCTGAGGGTGCTGCCCATCCCATTCTCCAACAGAAACGTGAAAACTGACAGCTGAAGGTTTTTACTGCAGCAATCTTTTAAAAAACTGAAAACAACCTAAATACCCATAAATAAAAGAATGATTAGAAGATCCAAGATGCCCGTTTAGGAACAGCTCAGGATTGCAGCTCCCAGTGAAAGCACACAACGCATTTCCAGACGGATTTTTATTGCCCACAGACCAGGAGATTCCCAGGTGGAGGAGCCCCACTAGTCGCCAGCGCAGCTGCTTTGCCGGCGCCCCAGTGTGGCAGTTCTCCATACAAAATACACTGGTCCGGGTGCCCTTTTAGCTGGCAATTCGAGCCCCAGGAAGTCGCCCATTGATCTGATTAAAAAGGGGACTGAAACAGGGAGCCAGGCCAGGAGATTCCCAGGCAAAAAAAGCACCATGAATCTCAGCTCCGCTGTTTCAGCCAGCGCAGTGAGTCACCGCGCGGGAAATCACACAGATCCAGCGCCTTTTCAACAGGCAGCTGGAACACCTGGGAGAGAGCTGACCCTTCAACTAAAAAAAAAGGAAAGGCTCTGAGGCAGGGAGCCAGGTGATCAGGCTCGGCTGCCCCCATCCCCACAAAAAAGAAAAACAGCAATTGGGTTGAGAGTTTCACAGCAAGTACAGCTGAACCCGGGAGGGTCCAGCTCCATGGGGGAGGGGCGTCTGCCATTACCGAGGCACTCCACCACTAGGGAGGTAGTCCACCATTGCTGAGGCAGCCCGCCATTGCCAAGGCAACCTACCATTACAGAGAGTCTGCCATTACAGATGTGGGCCACCATTGCAGAGGCAGTTCTAACTACACCCATATAAACAGGACTGCAGGGAAGTTCACACGGCAGCTGGGCAGAGCTCATAGCAGCTCAGCAAAGCCTCTGCAGGCAGGCAGTGAATAGGCTGCCTCCTTGCTGGGAAGGGCAGCCCTGAAAAAAAAAAAAAGGCAGCAGCACAACGGAAACTCAGAAATAAAGCCCTAACTCCACGGGACAGAGCACCTGGAAAAAAAAAGGGGTTTATGAGTTCTGCTACATCAGACCTAAAAGTACCTGCCCAGCAGCTCGGAATGAACAATGGAGCTCACAGCTCAGCACCTGAGCTCCTATAAAGGACAGACTGTCTCCTCAAGCAGCTCCCTGGCCCCTGTATATCCAAAGAGTCAGCTCATAAAGGAGAGATCAGATTGACATTCGGCAGGTATACTCCTGGGACAAAAGTAGCAGAAGAAGAAACTGGTAGCAACCCTTACTGTTCTGCAGCTGCTGCAGGTGACACTCAGGAAAGCAGGGCCTGGAGTGAACCTCAGCAGTCCTACAGCAGAGGGGCCAGACAGTTAGAAGGAAAACTAAGAAACAGAAATAACTTCATCATCAACAAACTGGACGTCCACTCAGAGACCCAATGTGAAAGTCAGCAACTACAAAGACGAAAGGTGGATAAACCCACAAAGATGGGAAGAAACCAGTGCAAAAAGGATGAAAACACCCGAAACCAAACACATCTCCTCCTACAAGGGATCACAACTCCTCACCAGCAAGGGAACAAAGCTGGATGGAGAATGAGTGTGATGAAATACAGAATCAGGCTTCAGAAGGTGGGTAATAAGAAACTTCTATGAGCTAAAAGAACATGTTCTAACCCAATGCAAAGAAACTAAGAACTTTGAAAAAAGATCTGGTGAAATGCTAACGAGAATGGACAACTTAGAGAGGAATATAAATGAATTGGCAGAGCTGAAAAACACAACACGAGAACTTCACTAAGCATGCACAAGTTTCAACAGCCGAATTGACCAAGCAGAAGAAAGGATATCAGAGGTCGAAGATCAACTCAATGAAATAAAACGGGAAGGCAAGATTAGAGAAAAAAGGGTAAAAAAGGAATGAACAAAGTCTCCAAGAAATGGGGGACTATGTGAAAAGATCTAATCTACGTTTGATAGGTGTTCCTGAATGTGACGAAAACAATGAATCCAAGCTGGAAAATACACTTCAGGATATTATCCAGGAAAACTCCCCCAACCTAGCAAGGCAGGCCAATATTCAAGTCCAGGAAATACAGAGAACACCACAAAGATATTCCTCAAGAAGACCAACCCGAAGGCACATAATCATCAGATTCACCAGGGCTGAAATGAAGGAGAAAATGCTAAGGGCAGCCAGACAGAAAGGTCGGGTTACCCACAAAGGGAAGCCTATCAGACTCACAGCAGATCTCTCAGCAGAAACCCTATAAGCCACAAGAGACTGAGGGCCAATATTCAACATCCTTAAAGAAAAGAACTTTCAACCCAGAATCTCCTATCCAGCCAAACTAAGCTTCATAAGTGAAGGAAAAATAAAATCCTTTGCGAACAAGCAAGTACTCAGAGATTTCATCACCAGGCCTGCTTTACAAGAGCTCCTGAAAGAGGCTCTACACATAGAAAGGAACAACAAGTAACACTCCAAAAACATACCAAATGGTAAAGAGCATCAACACAAAGAAGAATCTGCATCACGTAACAGGCAAAACAGCCAGCTAGCATCAAAATGGCAAGAGCAAATTCACACATAACAATATTAACCCTAAATGTAAATGGACTAAATGCCCAAATCAAAAGACACAAACTGGCAAATTGGGTAAAA